GTGTAACATTGTTTCTGATGCGCGCGCGCAGCGCGGCCGACGCGCATGCTCGCGCATCATGCGTGATTTACGATTGTGCACTTTGTGATTTTTAAAACAGTTTTTAGTGTAGGTTCTCGCTTCAAACTGGATAGCTTATAAATCTGGCGCCAAAATGAATGAACTCCATTGAGTTTTTCACTTGTCAATTATTGGAAATACTTCGTATTTATTCATACAATTACTGGTAATGATTACTTAAGTTTTTATCGTTCTTTATATGGATGACGGGGTGGTCGAATTGTGACGATAACGGGTATAAGCATATTTAATAAGTTTATGTAAAATTTAAATGCTTGCTTCCATAATACATAGCCTATCTATTGCTTCTATGTATGGAGTTCACCGGTACGTAGTTTAAACTCATCCTAAACCGGAGAGGACTGCAAGAAAGAAATAATAGGATCACATGGCAACAAAATAACTAGCAGAAATTGCCCCGTAAATACGAGAACCAATAACAAAGCTTTCTTTCATAGCGTTCTTAGTCTTCGTATAGATATAATTAAAACTTCTACTGTTGGCCACATCATTGTAGTTTTTAAGGGATATCGTTATGTAAATTTGGTCTATTTGCGTGGACTGTATTACTATTTAGCATAAAAGTGGTTGAATAAAGACTTTTTAGTCAAAGGAATGTGTTTACAGCCCAGCCTTACTACCCTTGATGTTTGAAGCGTCGGCGCTAAATAAGAATTCTTTAGTTTTATAAGGACTTTTCAAAGTTATGATTCTTAGCATACTACAAAGTATACTAAATACTTGTAGGTATGTATAATTTGAAAACTAAAGATTCTTTTATATGTCCTTTTATTACAGCTGGTGATTATACCCAGTTTAACAAGTGTATAAGTCATTTATTTCAACTAAACTACAATATCAAGGTTCTATAGAGATGTCAAAATAAAAATAGAGGTTAATCAGTACAAGACGGTACGTTCCAAAGTGTAGGTACACATATTTGTAGGTAGATACATAAGTGGGTTCGGAAAGGGCTTCAAATATCATTTTCCTGGGCCTAAATCCCTTCATTACAAAACAAGCTAGGTATGTCTTTAGGTTCTAGGTTTAAACCATTGACGGGGTTGCGGGGTAAGCGCAATGGGGCACTGCGACCTCAGCCCGGAGAGCAGGAGAAGGAACAGGGGGTTTTTAATCAGTTAGAGTCTGACACTTCCACCCGCCCGGTCCTGAACGGGAGAAGACATTTGATGATTGAGTCGATTGTTGATCGATTGAGTTTATTAGTTGATTGAGAGATTGAGTTGAAAAAAAAACCATTGAGTCAGGTTTTGTATTTTGAATCTTAAGAGGTTAGAATAAGATTTAATTAAAATATAGCAACTAGCTCAATGCTTTAGACCTAGACTAAAGAAAAACTTTGTATTGTAATGAGGCGGTAATAGTTTACATTTAAATTTTCTGTAAAACTTACACAAATAATGACAACGTTTATTTGTATCACTTAAAAAAAATCTGTAAAGATAAAATTACTACTAATAAATAACTGTTCCTGATAAGAGTAATTCATCAATATAAGTCCATTTTTTCGTCGGCTAAAAACAAGGGTCCGATGACCGCTGCGTTCCGTGTTTGGACTTCCTAAACCCTGTAGATATTCGACGCTGCAAGGGTTATGGTACCAATTAAGCCCCGTTTGGTACCTTTTGGCCAGTGTTGCGAATTGTTAATTACCAAAACCAGACGGTAAAGCGGTTGTGACGTCAGTAAGACTAATTTACGATCCGTAGGGCTCGCACGTGCTGCAATTTGATTTGGTTCGATATACAAATTGGTGTGACGTCACAATTTTATTGATTTCTTTTATTGTATTTTACTAGATCGTTTGGAGAACTATTTTGTTTGTTTGAAAAACATTGTTGTTTATACTTTCGAACTAATCCCCATTGAAATAAGCTGATTATTTTCAAGTTCCGGATACTTATACAATTGTAGGATGTGATATGATTATTACAGCTGACATTGTAATTTAGTGGAGAGAGATCTAAAAGAAATTGCGTTAATGACAAGACGATAATGGTTCAGCCGTTTTTAAGTTAATTGTCAAAATATTTTTTATTCCTCCAAATGTTGCCTGTATGAAATCTCCTTGTGTAATAAGACCGTCAATTGTATTGACAACATTATTCTATCATTTATTGTATATACAATTTAAAACAATAAAAATAATGTTAGATTAACAATCCAACATACTTACATTGGCATAAAAATCATAAAATTTTATTAAAAGAAAAATCTGTTAGTGTCTGAAGTGACTGAGTCTGTTTAAAGTGCTGTGAGTCACGGTTAATCGACAGTCACTTACATTATACTTGATAGATTAAGTTTAGTCATCAGTTAAAGGCAAATCGAATCACAAAATCATGTCAGTCGATGAATGCAATCAAATACAAACGAAACACGTTTGTAATTCAATCAGATTGTTCATCGATAAAGCTAATATCAACATCATTGTAACCTTTCCGATGAATCATCACAATCCCACATCATGTTTAAAATTTCCGCAAGATCACTAATACTCTTCTTGACTTAATTAACCCTTAAAAGCGAGCCCATAATCCGACAGGGAACAAAAAGACCCAAACAAAAAGCCCACTCGATGTCACGTCTAAAACTGGGAACTTTGGACAAATTCATGTTTTTATGGGCCTTTTGTGTGTTTTTTCTCACAGTTGTGAGGCATCTGAAGGAGCACGATTCGGTAACGCACCGAGGAAGATGTTATCGCGACCATTAGAGGGTTGAGCTACAGCGCATTGAGACATTTCGACACGTCCAAGTTTTTGTTTAAAATCCTTTTAAGAGATGTTATTTTAGGTCAATGATGGCGCTTTATTGATACTCGCCTTGACGTCCCGGACTCGGCGCAACCGCAAATTATAGCCACACATTTTTGACGTCTCACTCAAAGCTCGATATTTCGTCTCACAATTATTAACATGACAGAGACTCATAAAAAATTGGCCGATTCTCTTTTAATAAAGTCATCTCGCCTCGCCGACTAAGTTCCCACGACACGCCGTCAGATAAGACGTAACAACGCATCGTGTTTTTGCAACATCATAACCACATTGTCGTCGGCACTTCGTCACCTGACGACATGTTCTTGATATAAAACGCCAATAAATGTCACTTTTTTATGACGCATTCGCGTCATGAATTCACGTCACGTGCGCGAGCGCCGTCAGATTTGTATCGACGCATGTTCGCCACCCTATGTGCCCCGACGCGCGCCATTCTCTCACGCGACTCCGTCGACATCCGACGCGCCGATCCACACATCTCACGCTAATCTCACCTACCATCCAACTATTAACGTCCAAGGTGAAAACTTTTCCGACAATAGGCTCATTAGCCCCACAAAAGTCATTAAATATTTGACAGTATATTGTAACAGCGTCACGTACAAGAGCGCTAACAACGTGTGGAGGATCTCGGGGAAGCGGAACAAATCCCGTGATCTATCCAGAATGCCATCCGTCCACTGAGCTCTTTCATCGATCCTACACGTTTGGACAAAAAAAGCCAACGGTCCGGAATCATTATTATCTTTCTTCTTCGATCATCGATCGCTATTATCCTATTTAAAAGCATCTCGATTTGTTCTTCACTTTTTTTCTTTTCACTCTCCTGTCGGCGTTTCAATTCGGGATCCCAACAATGGGCACGTTAAGAAAGATGTTTAAGTGTTTAGTTACGCTGCTTTTTTCACAATTTTTCAATTTAAACACAGTCGTGTCGCTGAAGGGCCGGAAGGTGTCGTTACGGGTATTACAAATACTAATAATGTCGACGTAACAATGGACTGAATAACATTCTTAACTTTAATCTTTGACTAAATGCTCAATTACATTTGATATGTGAATGTTTCTACTTTATTATGAAATTTCTTATTATCCAATCTGTGCTTATTGAGTTTAATGAAGAATTCCTATCGGTAATTAAAAAGCGCACAGCAATAAAAGGGCGTGGAGAAAATTGAGTAACTCCGTAGGTACTTGAGTCCAGGCAATTCCAGTTAAGATATTAATTGGTTGAAGCTAGAGGGACGAGGCAGGAGGGCGGTGGAGCGGGGGCCCCGGCTGGCAGGACCCACATGTAGCGTGAAATCGCGGGGCGCGGGTGCGAGCCCCACCTGGCCACCACCAACTTATTATTTGTTGTCTCCCATCTTCCATGCTCGTAAATTTTCACGTCAACGTGTGCGATGATTGTGGAAAAAACGAGGTCGACAAAGCCTTTTCACACCTGGAGATATACATAAAGACGGACGATTCAGTAAATACGTGTATTAAGAGCATAATACGTGGAGATGTCCGTTCACCGGTGGCCTCTTAATGTGCGTGAATAATTTTTCGTCGTAATAAATTCGGATTGTAATGGTCGATCGCGATTGGTTTGAAATTTTTAGTTGCGTTTATTTTAATATACTTCTTATATAAAAAGAGTATTATGGTATTACGTTTACGTGGGACTGGTTTTGGCATTAATTGACAATGATTGCTACCAACTACGTTTTCGAAAATAATCTCATGATGTTATTGGTGCTTTAGTACGACAAAAGGTTAATAAATAAAGATGTTTACTGTGGTTTTGAAGTTTCATTGGCGCTGCTATCGTTTTAAGGGAAATCGTTTGTCTTTTGTTACTGTGACAAGATAATCAAATGATGTCTCTTTGATTTGTTTATGGGACTCTTTGCTTATTAGTTTTCCTAAGAGACACTTTCTCTGTACTTTTTAATGTAAATACTATTAGTTATGGATTTTATGGTGAACACAAAACTTGAGTAGAAAATACATGATATTTTATTCAAGCATTGTTTTTAAACGAGTAAACAGTATTTTTACAAATTTTATGACAGTTTTATTTTCATTAAGCAACTTCGATATGCCAAAATAAACCTTAAGTACTCAGACAAACGAAACTTTACAACTCACCTCTTTTCATTATAGAACTGCTATGAGGATTACTACTCCTGGTCATTAGGCTGGAGCAATTCCACCTGTGCCAGCGGAACTGATGCTGGCATTCCTTGACCGCTAATTGTAGACCTTCGAAGGCCACGGCGACTGTATCGGGTGATTCGTGGCAGACGGATCTTTGTTCTCTGGTCAATCCACCCACAAGACGGCAGGTGAGGGACGAGCTCAGCTTCACATGAGTCGGCAGCATGTTGTCTCGGGAACTGAAATTTAAATGGAATTGTTTTAGTATTTCTAAGAATATGTGCAGGACAAAAGTCAAGTTTAATATATTTAATATAAAGGTTTGTTTGGATTAGTCATGTTTGATGTTTGAGTATATGAGATTATAAATAATGTTATTTTCAAATATCTATGTGTGGCTCGAATAAATTATTATAATTATATTATGATATGTCGCTGTATAATTTTAACAAATAAATAAAGAGTAATTCAATGTTCATCGTTACATATTATAAATGGCGACCTTAACATAATTTATACAAGACTATTATTTCCACGCGACTTCGTACTTGTCAAGTTATTGAAATAAGGTATTTTTCTGTCTTAAACTTGCATTTTAAGTTAGTGCAATGGTGAAAACTGCATTGCATTACATAAACTGACTTGTTTTTGTGGCAAACAACTGACTTGTTTTTGTGCACAGATAAATAGACCGTTACAAAAATTCAAAACATTTTTATTTTAGCTTCTGTTACTTTAATAAAGGCTCCATGTTATTTATTTTTATAATATCTTAAATTTATAATAAGACTTCGTTTTGTTATAATTTTATGATATGTGTCGATACGTCACACTACTATTTCCCACTAATTGGTCTATTCTCATGATTAAAGTAACATTAATTAATTTATTTGTGAATATATTCAGCTAGAGGCTACTGATAGTATCGCATTATTTAAATAGTTTTTGGATGAAACAATTTGTTCGCTTGGCCGGTAGCTAATATTTCGATGGTATTTGAAAATGCTTCGAACGATTTTATAATTAAGTCTCGGTTGAAAAGTTATGAGATTCGCCCTGCATGCCTGTGAATTGTTTTCGTTGGAACGTTGGATGGAATTTTACGGAGTTTAAAAATTTAATTTTGGAGTGTTTTATTATTTTTCGAACATTGTTGTGTGGTGGAGGTTTTAAAGAGGTTTTAAGTATGCAGGTGTAATTAATTACTTTTTTATCTATGCATTTCTTGAAAATCGTTGCCCCACAGGGTAGGTAGGATTTTCCCCTGTATCGTGGGTGAGTCTAAAAACATAGGATTTCACATACACATGCCTATGCCTGCCCTAGCTTCCCTATTCACAGTACCTACCTGTGTAAAACTTATGCAATGTAAAAAAGTTACTGAGTAGTTTTTAGGTTTAGGTTTAATTTAACCGTTTATTTATTGCCTGTTTAACTCAGTGTTTGTAAATAAGAAATACATTTATTTACTAATACTTTTACAAATACCAAACTATACATAATTTCTGAATGCTGCCTTAATCTAAAATCTAAGTTCAAATATTTAAATATAAACTTTAACAGAAAAATGCGATCGTGACAGAACAGTCATAAAACTCCAAAAAAAAATAAAATACAAATCACAGAACTAGATGAGCATGACAGGAAGTGTCATAGATTAAATAAAATTGTGGTCGCACGTAGGTACTTGCGACAAATCAGATGTACGCGACTGTCGCCCGATCGACACTGATAAACTACGCACGTGTTTTTATATCTTTGTCTTTATGTCAATGTTTCGGATTTACCCGTCTCGCCTGTTAAGATTACTTGATCTTTGACCACATTGATATTTAAAAATGGAGCATTTTTATTTTTTTCTTTTTGTTTGGCGAGTACTTACTTATTTTATTTTTATGATTTGTGAGTATACAGTCCGAGTGTTTTTTTTGTGATATAGGGAGACAAACATACAATCGGCTAACCTAATGGTAAGCAACTGACGCCGCCCATCGATACACGCAACACCAGTGTCAGTTACAAGTACGTTGAAGGCCTTTTAGGCCTTTTATTTGATACTGGAAGGAAAATGACTAAATTTGAGGAGATGGGAAGTATTGGGCCTCTAGTAATTGTAATCACACGGCGGTCGTTGGTTTACACCGGTTTTCTGGGATATCATGGAATCAGTTGAGTTGCTCCATTTATGCTAAAGTACGGCTCTTCCACACCATTCTGAAATTGTATGTTTGTATCTATTTTATATCAAAGTATTTTTTATTTATTTATTTCTTCTTCACACAAAACAGTCTGACTTAAGGCCTTAAGGCATTGTCTAACAGTCAACCACAGGGCAGTAAGTATGTCAATTTAAGTAGAATTAAAAAATATGAATACTTATAATATTATGTAATTAAAAAAACATAATTATAAGCAAAGATATACAATATTAAACAAAAATTAAAATCTAAAATTTTACACTCTAATATTATGAAACAAAAGAAGTAGAATCAGAGCCCCGAGGTATGTAATATTTAATTTCCTCTTTGTTTGGTTAGTACATAGTTTAAGGGCGAGGCTAACACGACTATTTAACTGTGTACAAATACTCCTTATCAGTGTAGTGTATGTTCTTAATTTGGAATGGTCAAGAGTGAACGGACGTTTTAGTGTAAGGATTCGGTATGTTAATTAGGTTACATACATGAGGCTATTAACTAATAAGACAAATAAAAAATACATGCCTGTCTTGAATATTACACAGTAGGAGACAAAACAATAGTTATTTGAAAATATTCACTCATTGTGTTCGCGCGTTTAAGTCTTTTGTATAGAATAATAAAATCATATTTTTATAAAATAATTGTAATTAAATATGTAAAATATCAATAATTAATGTCTGTTCCAACATCAACACTATAACCAAAATTAAAATAAATTTAAAAACTCCGACCTCGAATAATACCCTTTTAATGTTCAAAACAGTTTAGGTTGAGAAGCAAAGAAAGTAATTTAATTAAAATAGTAACTCTAATAATTGAGTCCCATCATCGACTTAAAATTCCTCTTATTATCTTCAATCCCATTATCCACAAATAATTATATTGGTACAGAATAAACACAAATTAGTAAAAAGAGAGAGAGAGAGAGAGAGAGAGAGAGATCTTTCTGATTTGGAGATTTAGGGATTGGGGAAGGGTCCGGGAAGGGGAAGGATTGGGCCTCCGGTAACCTCACTCACACGGCGAAACACAACGCTGTGGTTGTTTCACGCCGGTTTTCTGTGAGGCCGTGGTATCACTCCGGTCGAGCCGACCCATTCGTGCCGAAGCATGGCTCCCATACTTAACTATAATATATATGGATAACTAGTAATATACATGTGTATAATGTTATAAGTACATCGATAATGTAGATAAAAAAAATCCCGACAACAGGTTACTAAATCCATCATAAAGTAATTAAAAGTCCAATAACCATAATACATTTACATTCAGTCGGTTAAAAACTTACAAAGGAACACTAAAAACAATTGTAAATAAAAGTTAAATACAGTTTTCCGTCTTTGCATAACTGTTGAGTTATCTCGTCCCGTCCCACGGTGCGGCTGACATGTATACAGGGTGCGTCTTTATGTGACCACATAGTATTGCACACCTATATAATTAGTAATGAGTATATTTAATTAGATGTTACCAAACGTTTTACTCGTGTGAATAAAAATATATCCCGGCACTAAAACACATTAGAGACTTGACCTTTTTGTTAATAAAAAGTAAAGTCACAACTTCCCAGTGAATGAAAAAATACATTTTTCAATGGGCTACTATAAAACAGTATGTAGTTGTTAAATGTCAACCGGAAAGAACAAATCAGGTAATACTATTATGGTCTTGCAAAGTCAGGTATATAAAATTTCAGCATAATCGGTTAAATGTATGTATAGTACTTATCTACTTCATAATTTTGATGTTAGATAAGACTAAACTATACAAACATACATAATTACATTATCTATATTAATATATAAATGCGAAAGTAACTTTGTCTGTCTTTTCTTTACGCGAAAGTAACTCTGTCTGTTTTTTCATTAAAATCACGATATAAAACTGTTCTATACTTAAAATATTATAATCAATCTAATGTATCACAAAAATGTGCGTGGTGAAACATTTTCAGTGATAATTTGACGAGTTCATTTTAAAAATTTCAACCAACAGTCTTGACTTTTTAGATAGAACGTTTCCAGTATAATGTCAGTTTAGTTTGATTTGCATTTAAAGAGACAGAACACGAATGCCAACTAAAACCTTTTTATGAGTATTTTTTAAGTTAAGTCTAAGAAAAACAAATAAATAACAGCTTTATCATGACAGAATCTGTCTTTAAAACCAGTTTATTTTGATGTTTAATAACTTTATTTCATGTCCAAAAGTTTCTGTATTGGTCCTTTTTACATAAATGATTACTTAGACTTTCTTTTACATGAAAACAATAGTAACGCAACGCCATTGTGAAATCCATGAAAATGCAAAATTAAATTCAATAACATTGAACCGAGTGCGTTGTCAAAGCATTTAAATTGTAATGTTTACATCCCAATAAATGTAAACGTTTTCGATATAAGTTTGCCTCCAAAAAACCTGCCACACAAGCTAAGGATTTAGCGAAACGCCTAACAGCTCTTCCAGAGTCGTTAAACCCGACTGATCCAATTAAAACACGACGCGACTCTTAATAATTACTTTAAAAATTCCACATGACGAGATAAAAACAATAATTTCGTACTTTAATACCGTCGACGGTAAAAAATAATAAATCCGTTGCCGTTGTCGGCCTGATGAAATGCTACGATACCCCATTCAGAAAGGTTATTTCAATACAAATTACAGCTACTTGCATAGCTGCTTGCTGCGTGCCGACAATTCTGCAAATACTTTTATCCTCTCTAACACTGAGATTTAAAATGCCTTACATTTACATCACATTATCAAAAGCCCACCCTAACGTTGAATACACAAGTTACAAAATCCCCTACGCATATCCTCTAGATAGGACCTTTTTCTCGTATCACGGACGAGTCTGATTGAAATTCCATGTACTCACAATGTATATACTAAGTCTATACACCTACTGGAGGATTTATATCCTTCTATGAGATACACTTAATTTGTGGTACATTGAAAAATGTTGGAACAGAAGCAATTAGTCCGATAAGTGTTAATATGTGCATAAATCGGACAATATCAGCTTATCTCTA